TAACTGGATTTACGGGACGAGCTCATGATATTCGCCGACTTTGATCAATTCAATTTGTCGAAATGGAAATAGAGTTTGTTTTAATACCCATTCTAATTGCACAATTTACTGACACCTAACGAGGTTCCCAACTGAGACAATTCATGTTAACAACTTTCACTTTACTGTATGATTTCATTTTGACCAAAGTTTTACTAATTATAAGACTATAAGACTAGTAACAATATGATAAGCGTATGGTTATTTGACGCACGCATATCTTATATTACGTAAATCTAATCTATTTTTAGAATAAAAATTATTAAATTAGAAACCTTTGTATTTATTTAATCAAAATATTAATATTACAACACAATGGGGCGGTTGGACTCGCTTTTAGTGAACGCGTGCGACGAGCATTACATGTAACTCTAATCGACCCCTTAACATTTGTCTGACCTTTTATTTTGACGATTTTTTAGAGGACTTTGCGGTCGACTGGAGCCCCACATCACTGTTACCGACCGGTGCTATGAATGGAGTGGTGGTTGTGGGCGTAGTTTACAGCGATTGAGTTGTGAGTACTGTGGACGTAGTGGTAGTGCTGGCAGTGATGGTGACAGTGGCCGGAGTCGCGGCACTCCGAGTGCTCACAATGATGGTGAGGGTCCATTTTCCCCATCCGGAATCGCGGTTAAAAATAGCGTTTTTAAAACAATTAAAACAATGTGTGCTTGCCACAAAAACTTTCTTTTAAGTAAAGTATATTAATAACAATGGACAATGTTATAATTAATTAACATTGTTAGGTGTCCATGAACTTTTCGAACACCTTAATCACTGTCAGCACCACCAGTTTTGTATCTGAAACCTGTCACTTTATTAGCCTGGCTAATATCGCACTGATAGTGCCTCAGCCAGTACTACTATATTCCTATATATATGAATTGTACCCCGTGGCAAAATTGCTTGTTTCGCCCTGGCTAAATATTTCGCTTTGTTGCTTCAGATACTATTTTAGTGCACTAAATTGGGCGAGATTGTTTTTAAACAAATATATATAAATCAATCACTTTCTATATTTAAAATTAATGTAAATAATATGTATTAAAATTAATTTTTTTTAATTTGTTTTAGAAAACTGACCATAACTGACCTGTGACCAATATTGGCAAACTTAAAACATGCCTAACAGTTATATTATTAATTTAAAATTGTATCTACTAGGATATTTACTATGACATTGGATTGACCATTACTGACCCATGCCGATCACCACTGTTCCCACACTTATAAACCTAATCTGTATTTAATATTTAGGAATTTGTAAATGTTTTATAATAAATAAATTACCTTTGTAGTTTACTAATACTCTACTAGTATAATTGTGTTCAACAGTATGTTACTTAATACTACTGTTACAGTATTACACTGTAAATCAAAAGCTTCATGACAAATTCATGGATTTATTGAATAATTAATACTATATTGCTATGATTACTACGGTAAATATGACTTGTTTTAAAACAAAATACTTTTTATTAATCATTTGTAACCAAAAAAGCATTAATTATGATGACATTCATTACAATGTGATAACAATAATGAAAATGTTTTGTCTGTTTTAATGAGTTTTGATTTTCAATTGATTTCATTACATATGAAAAACAGCTTTTAATTAACTCAACGACTAAACTGTAAAATAAATGTTTAAAAAATATGTAAAAATTAAAATTAAATATCAATAGAACACTAAATACCAGCAATTGACAATAATGTGTTTAACAGGGTAGACAACTAAATGATCCAGTCAATTAGGCGTACATTTAATGTTCACAAAAACTTATTACAAATATAAAAAAAGTTATATTAAAAATATAATCTCATTATGGCTTTACGGGTACAGTATTGAGCAATAGTCAGCTCCGGTAGTTTTGCTGCCAAACATATAACATATATTGCAGTCAATATCACAATCGGAATAAATTTTATAATTTCATGTAATCTCATGTTAATGAAACTCACAGTATATCCACGCAAACAGTAACTCATTATAATGTGAAGTCACGGTATTTAACACAAACTTATTGTAAACGCAATCAATAATAACAAAAATCCAGGGGAACTACACCTTACGGGACAAGTCAACAGTCACTACTCCTTACACTACTTCTCGCGACTGTCGGCGCTATCGAACAGACCCATCGGATAGTGTTCGCGATAGGCCTCAACGTGTTCACACAACTCGCGGTACTGATCGCGCAAATGGTCGGGCAGTTCCTCATAAACATCGGTAAACATGGACTCCACCGACGGTTTCATCACTTTCTCGGCCCTCACCACAGCGGCCATAATTTCTTTGCGCGCCTCCTCTTTGTATCGCTGCTCCTCATCCTCAGAGAACCAGTTCCTCTTCAGCAGCAACTTCTTGAGCCGTACGATCGGGTGATCGTTTTGGGTCCAATTGCGCACCTCATCGACGCTCCGGTAGGCGGTCGAGTCGTCCGACGTCGAGTGGTGCGACACCCGGTATGTCATGGCTTCGATGAGCACCGGACGGCTCTCCTCCAGGCATATACGTCGCGCCTCAGCGGTGGCCATGAAGTTGGCCAACACGTCGTTGCCGTCGATGCGTACGGTAGGTATGCCCAGCGCCGGACCTCTGGCCGCTAATCCACGTGACAATAGTTAGAATAGGCTATTGTATGATCATAAGTGGGGATCACATACCGATGCCGTCGCCCCGGTATTGCTCGTGGGTTGGCGTCGAGATCGCGAAACCGTTATTACGACTATTGGTATCATAAAAAACAAAACACAAAAAATCAGTTATCAATTGAAAATAGTGTCAAAAAACACGCTAAAAGTCTAATTCATAGCCCAATCCCTGACACCCCAACCCTCTCTCTCTCTCTCTCTCTCTCTCATCCCTTTCCTCACATACCAGTAGAAAATGACGGGCGCGTCGAGAGTGGCGGCGAAGTTGAGGGCCGCGTGGGCGTCACCCTCGGAGGCGGCGCCGTCGCCAAAGTAGCACAACACGCACCGGCCGTTTTGTTGGCGTTTGTAGGCGTAGGCCGAGCCCACGCTGTGCACCATTTGCGAGGTCAGCGTCGACTTAATGGTCATGTAGTTGAGGGCGCGGGAGCCGTAATGAATCGGCATTTGCCTCCCTTTCCCCAAATCGTTACGATTGCCGAAACACTGGTCCACGAAGTCGTCCGGTTTGAAGCCGCGCCATATGAGCACACCTTTTGGGACATCACATCCATGGATCAGATCGCAGGTTAAGACACTCCACCGCACAGACACGTCTGGACACACATACCTGGCTCTCTGTACTGGCCGTATACGAGGTCCTGGAAGTCGAGAGCGGCCGCGGGTCCGAAATGTGTGGCCTCTTCGCCATGGGATGTGATATAGAAGGAGATCCGGCCCTGTCTTTGGGCGTTGTAGAGGATTGTGTCCATTTGGTTCAGACGTACCATTCCTGTGGCGCACATACACATCAACGCATATATTAACAGGTGGTTTGCAGTCATGTCAACCCTCTAATCCCATTATCAGTGATCTCTTAAGCAAACTAATACTTAGCTCTTAAGACCCGCCAATGGATTCATACAATCAATGGACACATAATTATCTCATTTAGTACTGAGAAATACTTAAGACTCGTAAAAAAACACTGATAATAGGATCGCGAGGGGAAGGGATCACAGAACTGATCCCATAAACACAGACAGACATATGTAATAGTGATATGAATCCGATGGACACAAACCGCGATACAATCTGATGAGTAGATCCCTGTCCAGCCGGGTGTCCAACAGCTGCAAGTCGTGCACCGATGTCTCCCCACTCTTATCGATGACCCGATACACAGGAATGCCGTCATAACTGTTGGGATCAACGAAACGCAACTCTTGTGTCCACTCGGACCGCGAGCCGGGAAACTGTGGTCTCTCCTCAAACTGGTCGCCTCCCGGCGCCCCCGGAGGGGCTGTGCGGCCATCAGTGGCACCAGTGGTGACGGGGGTTTGCACACGAGGTCTACCGGCGCTCTCGGACCACATGCTCCGGATCGCGCCGACACTCGCAGCGCGCATGCCGTTCACCGCGTGGTTTATCACCGACTTGTGGCCCACTTTCGGTCCATTTATATCTAAAAGTGATTTCAAACTACTTTTGCGGATAATTTTCAACATTTTTCGGTCACTTTTGTGTCACAAAAACACACGAATTAACGACAAATTTGTGTCAAAAAAAGTTAATTAAAACTTATTTAACGCTTAAAAAAGCGGTGACTTTGAGGCCAATCACAGGCAGTGCTATCGCGCGGCGATTGGCCAACAGATGGTATGTGTTATGAAACGCTGCGACCGATGGTGTCGTCCAATCGTCGCGTGGCTGTCGACCGATGCGTGCGTTTTGATTGGCTCTCAATCGGCAGACTATTTACTTACTCGTCGATCGCAATCTCATTATAATAATAATATTCAATGAGTTTATGAGTTATTAATGCAAAAATCAGTGCCAATTAAAAAACTCACATTTTATTGCCACTAAAGTAATCAAACTACTCTGGCAAAGTTTACAAAAGTTTTACAATGCACCCACGCTATATTGTACACCAGCTAGCACATTTATCTGGAGCACACTTATAAGTATTGAGTGCATCGTAGGTGTATTTTGGAAAGTTTACAATTTTTATTGCGCTAGCTTAAATATTGACATACTTTATTAAACTTTAATTATGTTTAATTTAATTATACAGGGAGTTTACTATATGTGTAGCTAGTGTAGTGACACCTATTGAGTGTTGATTGTAATTATGGCTCTTAAAAGTTTATACAAACTTTTTTTGGTGTTAAATTGGGTGTCAATTTGAGTACATTTATACATTTATATCGCGATTTAAGGTCAGTTTACGATAAGCCTGGGCAAATTATTATCGCCAATATTATCAGCAAACACATTAGTGTTTACCATATCATGCATTAGTTTATTACTAAATAACTATTAATGTTGTTTATAAAGTTATAAATATGAGTTAAAAACTAGTTAATGTTTATTCATTTATGAATTAATTTATATATATTTTATATCATTTAAATTGACACAAAAATTATAGTTTTAAAAAAATTATTTAACAAACAAAATAATACAAAAAACTATTTTTTCTTATAACTATCGTAACTGTCTGTAGTAGTCGTGTAGTAATAGTTATCGTAGTAATTATAGCTGGATGTCGATGTCGATGAAGTATAGTACGGGTAGTTGTAGTGATAGTGATTGACTTTGTAATATTTATCCGGCTTAGAGGTGGTCGTACTTGACGTGTAGTAATACTTTTTATGGTACTTATTATTATAGCCCTTAATTTAAAACATAGAAACAATTACATCAAACTCTAATAAATATGATTAACATCCCTGTCTCAAACGCACTGGTAGTATTAGTGAGATAATCCAAAATGTCAGGACTCACCAACTGCCTTATCATTGATTATAATGAGCTCAGGGATGTATACTAAATACAAACCTTGGGGTACGGGTGATAATAGTGATGGTAGTAGTGTTTGGGCTTATTAGTGGTAGTGGTGTAATAGTAGCGCCCATAGTGACCATGGTGATGGTGATATGGCTTGGATGTAGTGGTGGAGGTGTAGTGGTGTTTATGATAGGGCGGGTAGAAGTAGAAGTTATTGTAGCCGTTCTTATTCCACGGAGGGCTGGCAGTTGTCGTAGTGGTTGTCGGGTCGGCAGCTTTCAAGACCACCTGAAACGGTACGGCTTGTAGTTGGGGTTGAGGTTGGGCTTCAACGACCGGTTGAGCCACTGTTTTGAGAGCACTGGTAGCCTGCAAGGGGTCGGGAGCCCTAAACATGACCATCCGTTGCATTACCATTGACTACATTTAAAGACATTAGAAAATGAATTTAAATTAATTAACCAAAATGGTTAATTTAGCTAGTATAGTTAATAATTGTACTAAAATATCAACAAGATACAAGTGTAAACAAATTAATTATATTATTAAAATAGATTAAGACTTAATTAATGGGAGGTTAGGGGAGTGGATGGGATGTAAGCATACGTACGGGTATTATAAAACGAGCCCCGAGTACGGCGCCGGCAGCCAAAAAGGCTAACTAATTGATTAATTAACAAAAAATAGTGTTTTAATCATAAATAAAAATCTTTTAAACAAAATTAACAAATTGTTTGTTTCATATGAATACCTGTGAGGCCACTACCATTTCCCCCGACGCTTGGCTATAGTATGCGATTTAAACGAGCGGTTAGTGTATAGAAATAAATATTCATAAAACGCGTGATTATTATCGTTGCGACAAAACTATTCATTAGATCTCTAATATAATCGACAAAAAAAGAAAAACTGATTTTTTGCCGAAAAACTCTTATTTATATGACAGCATAGAAAGTGCTGATCAATGGATAGGGAGATTAAACTGGCAAATAGGTGGCCAGGTAGTCTATTTACTAAATAGTATAGGTATTTATAAGATTGCTCCAGATTATGAAACTCACAAATAATAATGAGTTTCCAAAAAGCATATTTTGTTATACAATACAATACAATATATTTAACTTTTAAGGCATTTTTATGTATAATACGTTCACATTGTGATAGAAAACTATTTAATGGTTTAATAAGTGATATGTAATTAGATTTAACATCACAAATGAGTTTGTAATTAAAACTCCCATTGAATGACATGTCTGAACACATATGCCGTACTACTCGCTCTCACACATGACATGCAATTTCAAGATTTTATGTCTAATTGAAGTGAAAATATATATCGTTTTTAATTAGTTTAGTGTATATTGTCAGTACAATTTAAAATATTATAAAATATCTATAAATACTACCGTAATAAAATTAATACAAAAATAGATTTTTGAAAGTTGACATTTTATTTTGCAGGTTCTCGAGCACCATTTGTGAACTTAAAATTAGCAGGGATTAAGATTGTATTTTTAAGAGTAATCAACAAAATTGAGTTTGAACATTATTTTAATTTGATTAAAATATAATCTCAAAATATAAAAAGTTCATTAAAATTTGTTGTCAATGAAAATTGAGTTAATGTTTTGTCTGTTTCGCACAAATATACTGTATATTTGACAATAAAAATACAAATCTATAATAAATAAACAAATTTTGCGTACAATTTATGCAAACAATTAAAATACAAATCTTAAGTTTTTAAAAATTTAATTAATAAACAGTTACTATACTCTCAATACAGACAAACAATTGATGAATTATTTTACTT